TTAAAGCAAAGAACCCACAGACAAACTTAGGGGAGAAAAAAAATAGAAGACAGAGAGGAAAGGAAAGAATAGGAGCCAGTGAAAGCAATCTGCAGGCTCTTTTCCCTCGACATCTCTGCCGGATTCCCTGCCTCTATTAAACTCTCCCAACCTCCCGCACTAATACTGCATCTTCAATTCTAGATTCTGTTCCCTGTTAAAGTGCATCTCTATTTATAATTTTATGGTGAACTCCTGAGAAAATAAAGCTTAGCAACTGAAACTTGCATTAGTAGGAAATACACCAGTTCATCTAATGACAGGCAATTGAACCACACGAGGCAGTGAGGTGATCAGAGCTCTGGGCTGGTTCTGATCCCAGCTTTGGCACTTTCTAGCTTGAGAGAGCTTGGGGCAAATGACTCAACCTCTCTGGGCTTCAGATTCCTCATCTGTATAATGGGGGCCACAATATCTGCTTTAAAAGTGTTATTTTAAGGAATCATTAAAATGGTGACTGTAATATATCTATTATTGTACTTGCACAAGAATATGCTTGAAAAATATTTATCCCTGACCTCTATTGCCTCCCTTCTCCTTCCTTTCACTGCTGCCTTCACCTTCCCACTCCTTCTTGGCTCTTCACCACACCAAGGAAAATGGCTGCAGGCCTGGTACAGGAGATCACCACATGTGCAGGCTGTTGGTGTTTGACTGCAGATTCACTGTCCACACTTTGTGTGCTGCCTTAGATCCTCTTCTCCTAGCCTCTCTCTCAGGCCCTTGGCCACTGGCTCTTGGAAAGTCCTGGACACTTCTGCAACCCATACTTCAGTCTCTACCACTGTTGTCTCTTTTCTTGGGATGTCCAACTGTCTGTCTCTCCCATGACTCCGTCACTGGGCTTCAGCTACCTCCATTGTAGTCACCACAGCAGAAGCCCAGACCAGACCGCATGGGACCCAACTGCTTCTAGATCTGAAAAAGGACCGTGGGACCAGACATAGATTCTGGCTTCCCCAGTAGCTGTCTAAAGGGATCAGACGATACTACTTCCTGTGAGTAAACTTTGTCCACAGGAGCATGTCCACAGGAAAATGGCACGGCATAGGCGCACACATTCTTCCCCCCTCCTTGCTCCAGTAGCTACTCCAAGTGGCCCACTCAGAGATCTCTCTGAGGTTGAATGACCGGTTATACTCAGTGAAGTGGCATCCTGCTCAGTAAAGCATCACTTTAGTGACGGTGGTGGTGGTGGTGGTGGTGGTGGTGGTGGCAGGGGCTTCCGTGCTTCCGTGTCTCCTTTTCCCTTTCCCTTCACTCTTGCATCTGAGAATTCCATTTCCCAGTAATGCACTAGCACTTAGGCAGTGCTTAGTTTTAAGGTTTTGAGGAAACCTGTGAACTACACTGTCCGGGCTTTCTTGCCAATGTCTTCTGGATGAAGTTGGCCAAATGCAGGGACCTAGTGAGAGACTCAAGCGAGGGAGAGAGGGGAAGCCAAGGTATCCTCCCCTCCCCGCTTCAGGGGGCAGTTCAGGAGCAGCTGTGACTCCTCCCTGTGTCCCTCTGGCCTGGGGTGAGGATGATTCTTGCTGTTACTCAGCTCTGCGGTGGCTTGGTGTCCTCTTTTACTTTTATAACCAATCTATCAAACAACCTGGCAAGGGTTCTTTTTTCCCCAACTGAACCCTGACTAATAAAACACACATCAATAAAAAGTTTGATTTTACTTAACTGTGTTTCTGGAATGGTTAAAAAGAAATTTCTGCTTTTATAAAACATTATATGTAGATTTCTAAGAATCGATAACATAAGAAAACTACTTTTAACTACTTCAAGGGAAATTACCATAAGAAAGCTCTATGGGTTATCGTTTAAAAAGTCAAATAATTTATTTTAGCATTTTAAATGGCATTCTATATTTAAAATGAATAATCCCTTTCTAAGCATTATGCTTTCCAGTGAATACCAGTGCAAGTCCTATAATCACCTTCTATGTTGCCTCTCTCCTGTCTTTGTGGTGGCTACTGAGGGATCTGGCTCTTTGCATCCTGGGCCTGGTGGGTGGCAAATTGGTGGTGTGAGAATATAAGTGCGATCATTTGGTAAATGGGATTCAAATTTCATTTGTTTGCATACCTCCCATGGTGCTTATGGGTAACAAACAAACATTCCACACCCCCCCCCCCCAACCTCCACTCCAGGTGCCATTGAGAACAGGCATATTTTCTTCCTGCAGGGTACACAATATTTCTAAAATTAGACCCGGAGAGATTTGCATTTATAGCGAGTGCTCTGTAATGGCTCCACGATGATTTCTGGGATCTCCTTCAATAACAAACACTGCATGGGCGTAATGCAAACGTGAAGCCAGAAATACTTTAGTATCTAGGCATAGAGATGTATGACAGCCTTTCCTGTGAACCTGGGGAGGAAAGGCCTTTCTTCTGAAAGGTACAAATGGGAATCCACATGGTACGCGAGCCCCCATTCATGGCCTACCAGTAACCACAGTAACAGCAGGGAATTGTGGAAGGGGGCTGGAGTTCAGGGAATCTTTGGAATGATTTGTTTTCTCTTGCCACGGTTTGTTTGTTTGATTGTTTTTCTTATACTCTGAAAAACACCAACTTTGTAGTTCCATAACATTTTATAGTACTTGTTTGCAGCATAGACAATGTTCCCACCCAAACTGGAAAGGCCTGAGTCACACATGTGATACCCCTTGATTCACATTGTCCCCGCAGTATGACCTCTGTCTCAGATGTCCCATTTTCCCTGCCATCCAGAAAGGATGACAAAATTAGAGTCCAGTGGTCTGGCATCTCATAGCAACAATTAGGAAGCTTTGGGCCTCTGGAGTTTAAACCATCAGACAGCCTCATATGGAAGAATTCTATTGGGACAAGAATCAGAAATGGGATTCCTGGCTAGCAGCCTTGCTGACCTACAGCCTGTACACATTGGATTGGCTGCAACCATGCTTACACTGCTGAAATGCTTCTGCCCAGAGTGCAAACTCATGGTATCTTCGAGCTTCCTGAATGCCCCACACTACTCCTGCCTTACAGGACTCCTTGCCCAAATCTTCCCACCATTCAAGGACTAACTCTCGGCTTGGTGGGATGCCTCCAGCACCTTCTCACAGAGCCAAAAAGGAGTCCATTCTGATCAGTTAGTTGGCATGGCAATTATTAAGTACTTTTAATATCACATCTGGGGGCACCTGGGTGGCTCAGTCGGTTGAGCATCCGACTTAGGCTCAGGTCATGACCTCATGGTTCATGGGTTCGAGCCCCGCATAGGGCCCTGTGCTGACAGCTCAGAGCTTGGATCCTGCTTCAGAGTCTGTCTCCCCCTCTCTCTCTCTCTCTCTGCCCCTCCCCCACTCTCTCTCTCTCTCTCTCTCTCTCTGTCTCTCAAAAATAAATAAATATTAAAAAATTTTAATATCACATCTGCATAGAAAGAACAAGATACTTAAGACTAGGGTGAATAAAACTAATGTAACATTGTGTGTCAACTATATTCTGATTAAAAAAATCATAAAATGCAATCAATCAGACAAACCAACTAGGGTAAATTATCTCAGAAGTTTGTTTCTTCCTCAAGGTGGTTGGGATCCCTGAGAGTTGGAGTCCATCAGGACAGCTCTTCAAAAGATGTTACAGCTTGGGGCACCTGGGTGGCTCAGTTGGTTAAGCATCCAACTTTTGATTTTGGCTCAAGTCATGATCTTGCAGTTTGTGAATTCAAGCCCCATGTCAGGTTCTGCTCTGACAGTGACAGTGTGGAGGCTGCTTGGGATTTTCTCTATCCCTGTCTTTCTGTCCCTCCCCCACGTGCACTCTCTCTCTTTCTCTCTCTCTCTCTCTCTCTCTCTCTCT